GGGTTTTAGAACAACCCCCATATAATAAATCAAAGAAGTATACCAATTCCTAGAAATATTCTATAGATTTCAGGAATTTAAAGGATCTCGAAATTAAAAATATAAAAATTGTCCTAAGAAATTATAAAAATTCAATCAATCTCATTATGCTAGGAATTCAGCTTATTCCTCCTCTAGTTCAGAAGTAAATATAACGATTTCCATACCCATTTATGATGATTAGATCCCGTATCTATATTCAATTTCGAATGAATAAGACGACAGCATCTGAGATATTTGCAAGGTAGGGCTACCTCCTGATAGATATCCGGTGCCCAAAATCCAACGCACCATAAGATGAAGCTCAAAGAAGACAACCATTTTGGGTTTTGGCCGGCAGTTATGCCTCCCGAGGCGTTCCATCATCTGGCACATCATATCATTTTCCCTGCGAGCGCCTCGGCTACAAGACAAGACCCCCGCAGCCACAGGAGCTCAGGCAAGCATTGAAGTTTCTAATGCGTTTGATGCCTGACCAAATCCCAAAGGCATTTCCCCATGCCTTCACTGCTTATGGGCCCAGGGTCCCAGACCCCATCTAGAGACCCACTGTCCAACAGCCTGCGCCAACTCAGAGTAATGGCCGCTGATTTCGTTCTTCCACTCACACGACGGAATAAGGCTCAAAATACCTCGACATAACGACGCTTTCCTGTAGCACCTGCGCAACAGTATTTGCTGCTGACCACTTTCTGAGCTAGTAGTTGCACTAGTACTAGTAGTAGTAGTAGTAGCAGCAGTAGTAGTAGTAGTAGTAGTAGCAGTAGCAGTAGTAGCAGTCGTGGTGGTGGTGGTGGTGGTGGTAGTAGTAGTAGTAGTAGTACTACTACGACGAGGAGGAGGAGGACGATGACTACTACTACTACTACTACTAACACTAGCACTAGCACTAGCACTAACACCAGTTGCACGGTAGCCAGCATTGATCGACTAGATGCTGAATACAAGTTCTGACAGTACAGTCTTGATCGTCTGAATATGCTTCATCTTTTCACTGACAATCACGAAATCGTCATTATTCCTCATGCCCCCAATTTGGTGCGCAGCAATTTCATCATCTTCACCACATGTCCGAATCCTGATTTGTCTTGCGGATTTGCTAACCAACGTAAATTCGTGCTGATCCTGGGAACCATGTCTTGCCCCAAGCTGAGGGTTGGAAGATTCTAAATGATACCAGAATATTCCAGAACCTGTGAGACACCAGTTGAAGTCAATGGTAGCCGAGCTCCCAACACTCAGGCAGCGGGAGTCGCACCTGAGGAAGTAGCCTCTGCAGCTCGGCAAAATCATGTGTTCAGGTCACAGCGGCCTCCAGGAGCATTGGGGCCACGATCGGGGCCCGGGCTGTCCTCTCCGCTGGTGCCCTGCAGGCTTTTTATTTTAAACCACACACAACTATGTCAGACCTCCCTTCACAAAGCGGAAGCCAGGCCTTGCCGGTTAGCTCCAGCTCCGAACTCTAGCCCTACATCCAGGCCTGCATGGCTAGTCTGGGATGTCATGTTGCAGCGCGGTTCACGGATTCTGCAGCGCGGCGCCTTGGGCGAATCTGAGGACCTCGTGGCGCTCATGGCCGGGCTCGCAGGAAAAGAGCTCATGAAAATCCGACCTCTGCAGCATCTCCACGACCTCCTGGCCAGGAAGCTCAAGTCGCAAGACAACTGCGTGCACTGCCTGGGGCAGCGTGCATCGCGGCCGGCCTGGGGTCAGCTGAGTACCCCACCACCGCCACCCTGCCTTTCAAGAGACGGACCTGCTTCATGGAGCATTGAACGGGATTGAACGGGTGGATCAAGTGCAGCAACATTGTAACATGCAAAGGTCTCACACCTATCACGGTGCCCAGTTCATTAGCCGCAGAAACATCGGTAGCCTCGGCAGCATCACACGGCAACGTGGCACAAGTTTGTGTAAGCCCTTTCTCTCCTGCCGAAACCTCAGATTGGCTACGTTTCTGCCTGACAAGGCACCCTTCCTAGGGAAGACCATGTTAAGACACACGAAGGGTGGACGAAGAGGAAGAGGAAAATGATCATGACTTCTTTGCTTCCACTGCCGCCGAGGTGATGATGCTGACGACATGCAGAGGCCCGGGATGGATGGACGCGTGAGTGAATGGAGGAGGAGGACGGTGGTGATGATGATGACGTTCATGAGGAGGAGAACGACGATGCATTCTGGAGGCTTGGCTGCTTTTCTGGGTTAATTGAGCCCTTTGGTTTGTCTTGACGTTCTTGGGGCTTTGCCAGCTTCGTCAGCTGGCGGTACCCATTCAGTTGCAGGCAGGCAGGGAGGTTAGTGTATTTCCTGCCTTGGGGGTTTGGGTTCCGCCTTTTCGTTTATCATGAGCGAAGACCCTCTCAGCTTGCGAGTTACGAGGCTGCAGAGCCATGAGCCATGTTTGGCTCTTGGTTGATTAAGTGGGTTTAAGTGTTGTGCTAAACCCTGCCGGAGGCCGCAGTTTTCCGCGGGAAACTTGCTGTGCGGCCTCAGGGGCCATTGTCGGTTTTTACCTGCTTTGAAGCCACTAAAAGGGGCCAATCGTACTGCCTGGTCCTTTCGTGTGATCAAGGAACGTTCTCCTGCGCGTTGATCAGGGGCAGGTCTGGATTGTGGGTACCCCCTCCAAGAGGGCCTCCCCTCAAGGAGCGGAGTCTAAGTGTTCGTAGCTTGCCGCCCTTTGCCAAGGGGTTAGAGTTGGTGACCTTGCCCTTCTCCCGCCAACTCTGCTCTTTGGAGTTGTTTTGTGACAAAAGGTTCGTGATTTTGCAGGTTTGCAAGAGCTGTCACAGGTTCCAGTGAGAGCCTGGCCGGGTGCTACCAGTACAGCGGTGTCCCACTCTTACTGAAGTACAGGATGGGTGAGGGATTTTGGCCTAGGTTCCTCGAATTGCCAAGGTTTGTTGTAGGGAGCGCAAGGTGTCGTGCCCTGCACCTTGCTTGTGGACTTCCAGGGCATGGCCTGCAGCTGTGAGTTTGCGTTGGCCTCTGTTGAGGGGGAGGCTGTCATCAGAGCATGTCCGCGAGCAAGCTGCTGCGTGTCTTTTCTTGGAGGCTTGCAGGTCTAATTAGGGGCAAGCGTGGTTCCCAGCGCTTGGCGTGCCTGAAAGAGACGTGGGCCACACGCCAAGTTGAGGGGCAGTGACCCTTGCTGGCAAGCCCCTGCTCTTACCCAGGAGGAGCTGTTTTGCCAAAGAGTTGCTTTTGCAACTTAAGCAATGTATCAGCAAGAGCCTACCTCCATCAGGTCCTGCGCTCTGGTTGACTTGCCTAACCGCCAGCGGCAGGCAGGAGGTCGAAGTTTCCCGTGCTATTTCTCTTGAAGGATAGCTGGCCGCGCGCACCAGGCTTGTTTGGCAGTAAGTCTGGGCTTAAGCTTTCCTCGCCAATGGGCTGAGTGAAGACCCTTCCCCCAGGGTCAAAAGGACTGCCAAAGGTGGCTTGAGGAGTTTAAGCAGCTTGCCTTCCTCGTCCCTAGACTGAGGATACAGTGAGTATGTAGAGCGTCTCACTTTTTTGAGTTCCAGAAGCCGGAGTGTTCAGCCTTGTACAGATTGTAAGTTGTGGCTCCCATAGTCCTTGTCTGTGGACCGAGGACTAGGTAGAGTCAGTTAGTGAAGTTTCGACCTCAAGGAGTGGTGTCCAGTTTCCTCCTACAGGAGATGATCAGCAGTAGCTGATTAATTAATTGCACGAGTAGGGTAAGGACTAAGGCCAACCGCAGAGGACCCTAACTCGTGTGAACGATGATGCGTTCTACATGACATAGATCTCTGATGCTACAAGTCGCAAGGAATGACAGGCTGGGCAATGAAGGCATCTGGGCCCGTACACAAACAGAGGCAGATGTGTCACCATAACAAGAAACAGCAAGCAGGGGCTATAAAAGGAAATTAGTAACAACGACAAGCAACCGACAAAAGTGCAGTGCGTGTGGAATGGGCACGCAGACACCAAGCGTAGCGAGCTTCTTGTAGCTGCTTCGCTGGCAGCAAGCCTGCTCTCGTGCCTTTCTAACCCGACTGGCTGATGGTCATCAAAGTTGAGCAACTGACAGATGACAGCACTGGGACTCCCATTTTGCAACTTTTGGGGGCTCGGAACACGGCATCAAGCCGGGCCTTTGGTGGGGATATGGCGGGGGCCTCTTTTTTATTGCTTGCGGGGCTGTGAAACTGGATCATGCTGACACCCTCGCAGGTGTGCCTGTCTTTTAGTGGTGGAGTCTCAATTTTCAAGCCAAGAGGTGCAGAAGCAAGCTCCGAAGCAGCGGCATGAAGGCATGCCCCAAGTTTGACACCGCAATAAGTGATATCACAACTTCATACAACTTCATGACAGCCTTGAGGACCCAAGGTACTGTCATGGCAACACATTGTGACTTATACCCGTTCCTGGATTCTTGGTATCGTTCCAAAAAGAAGTTGTTTAGGTTACAACCACATTTTCGTGCAAGTGTTGCAGCCTTTACTATTCCTGCTGAGCCCGGTGCACAGGGCGTCGGTCCTGGCCTGCAGTTTTCAAGCAATTCCAGGCATATCCGTGCACAGCCGCGCGCCAATTGGCCCAGGCACTGTCAAACATGACGAAATGATGCTCATTATGCACCCCTTTGATGAAGGTGCAGGGCACCTGCTGGATCAGGCGGGGCATCAGACGGCTCTGGCCCTGCGAGTGCTTCCTCACCGGCAGAACTGCAATGGATGATGCCTGCTGATGCAGGGTAGCAGCCTCTGCAAGTGTAAGGTTGCGGCGCAAGTAATGGCCCTGTGCCACTGAGTCAATCCTGATTGCCATCGACGTGGAACTGTGCATGCAGTCACCTGAAGAGCGGTCGAGCTGCGTTGGAATCTGCCTGACTGCTCGGCTTCCAGAGTCGAGCAAGAGTTTTCGCTCCGAAGGTCCTGATCAGGACTGTCGGCAGCGCATGATTTTGAAGCCAAGCTCAAACTTGCCAGCCACAGCCGCCATAGCCCAAAAATCGGAGATTTGCATCACAGGGCTGCGAAGCAGGTTGGCCCGCATCATGCTGCAAGGAGGGCTGCTACCAGCTCCTCCAGGAGGAGCTTGGTGATGACATTGCCACGCAAAGTCCAGGTGCCGGAACCTGAAGCAGACCGCAAGACCAAAGGAAGCTCCGGCTCTGCAAGACCCTGCCTGTGATGAACAGGTTCCTGCCGTTCTGGTCCTGGCGCGCACTATGGAGCATCACATTTTCAGGAACGCAGGCAGCAACGCGGAGGCAGAGCGCCGACCCGCCTTCGCCCAATTGCCATGGCCATCGGTCATCACAAACTCGAGGGCCTGCAGGCGGGCGGCATCGGTGAAATCACTTCTCAGTCTGGCTGAGCCCCTTGCGGAGGCTGGTACCTGGATGCTCCACCACCCGTCGGCATGAGGAAACGTGCTCCAGTCGCTCGGGGCCATCGCCTGCACCCAGAGTTGCTCTGAGTAAAAACATAGAAACTCACACAGAGATGCTGCGAGCACAAAGCTAGAAATAAACTGCCAAGCTGCCCACCTCGCCCGGGACCGCTGTCCAGTCAGCACCCTCGCCATGCAAGGGATATCCAAAAAACAACCTTCAATTTTGCCGGACCTCTGCACTGTAGTGCAGGCGTGGTGTTGGCCATCCAGTCTGATAGAGCAAGGTGATGCCCTGGCAAAAGCTTTCCAACCAAATCTGCCTTCACAGCGGCAGCTGGGGCTGGCACCGTGGGCTCTGGCAGGAGCTGCTTCTCTCCCTCCACCTGCGGACGTGACCACCCACGGTTACGTTCATCAGTCTGTGGTGTGCCAGTTTTGTTGATTGCTTCCTTGCTTTCCACCGTTTTGTCAGGTGTGCTAAGGAGCTGGGGCACCACTGGAAGCACAACGTGGAACCTCAAGCTTCAGCAATGGGAAGCGACCAGTGCGTGGAAGAAAGCTGCTTAAGATGACGCACCAGCAAGCATGTCTGGTTGGCGATCCGCATGCTCACGCAGCAGCTCTCGTGGGCACTCACGCAAAAAAGTGCAGCAACCAGCATTACACGATATCTATGTAGCTATTCTTGTACTGGAGCACATCTTTCTGAATCTATTTATCTATCTCTGCTTGCATGCAGGGCTTGGCATCTTTGGTGCAATGAGGCAGCTGCTTAGAGGTCTGAGCGTGATGCCCGGCCTCTTCACCCTCCGTGGACTTCTCCCGCAGCGCCATCACACGGACCGAATTCCAACCCGCTGTCACGTGCTTTCAGACTGAAATTCCAGGTCAGAATGAACATGAAAACTCATGTCAAGTGCCTTCAGCCCAGCCAAACTACCCAAAGCACAAGATGAGGTTTACCCAATCCTGTGCTGGGCACGCCCTTGCCTCATGGAGCTGCGCTGCTAACACCAAGCTGAGCATAGGAGCTTACGTTAATCTGTTGAGAGCTGTATAGCTGGCTTGCTTGGCCGACAGTTCGCCACGTGTGACGTCCAGGGAACAAAACACGTCCAAGCACTCCATGAGCCTTGCTACCAGCAAGGTGAGACCCCCCCCAATGGCTGAGTCGCACGAAGAGCTCATGTTACCTCATACTGAGATGCTTTCACCACGTCCGATGCCGACAGGGCTGTCCAGTTTGACTGCTAATTGCAATGACAGCAGCGCAGAAAGGAACGTCTGCTGTGCAGATCCCGCGTCAAGCGGCGTCTCGGAGTCAAGACGACTCAAGCCATGCGACCAACCCGTTCAAGAAAGCATACGCTCCGTTCGAAGCGCCTACTCCGTTCATCTGCATCCAGTGAGAATCACTCCATGAAACCTTATGCAGTATCTAATCGATCATACTCGATTGACATAATGCATCCTCTAGACGCAAAGCTGCCTTGTTTGCGTGCTTCAGCCGAGCTCTTCGGGCCTCGCAAACAGACTTGCACACAGGCCGGTTAGCTGTCAGGACGAAATACACCAGGGATTCCCCGAAATGTTGAGCCTGGATGCCCGGCCTCCACCCCTCCGAGAGCCCTCCGAAGAATTCGCCAGCAGCACCATGGCCCGCTCGAGGCCAGCAACGGCCTACTCCTAATACTAAGAAGAGGCTTCGCCTAGAGCAGAATGCCTGCTGCAGGATACCCCAAGTTCTGTTTACCGCCGCACTGCTTTTGGTTTGGCATGCTACTTCACTGACATGATGGAGCCTTGCAACCGCTACGGACATCATGGGATGACAATTGCTGCTCAGCCTGGTGAGCTGCTGCCCTAGCTTTGCAGAACTGCAGAACTGACGACCCTCCTTTGCGAAGTTTTCGCAAGGGGCCTTAGGCCGCGGAATCGATGTAGAGTTGGAAAGGCCCTCCATGACCCTCGCCGCCAGCTTCTAGAGTCTGCGCCAAGGATCGTGGAAGGGGAGTCTCACTGCTGAGTGTGCAAGTATCAGGCACCCAAATGCATCACAGAAGCAGATAAGCTCTCCAGCACCTGCGGTTGCCGTGGGTTTATGTTATCCATTCCCTTTGGGTTCCCAAGAGCGGTCAAGCAACGGCTTGACAAGATCATCGACCTCTTTGGGTCGGCCGGCAGCTCCTTCGTAAGCCTCCCAAGGCCCTGGGCGTCATCTCGCACTGTCTCGCCCCATTATCCATGCGGCCACCTCGGCGCCAAGACAAAACTACTCCAGCCACCAAGGCTGCATGCGGGTGCAAGCAGGCGACGCAGGTAATGTCATCCTGCTTGCCACCAGTGCACAGCACTTTGCTGGCCTCAAAAAAGCGCATCACGATCACTGTAAGGCCAGAAGGATCCCTCCAGCCCGCGGACTTCTGTGGTCACTGCCTTCTGCCGCTGCTCAGAGGATGGCGTCCTTGCAGGGGCAAACGGCCCAAGTATGCTCAAGCTTCAGTTGTGCCTTGCTGCTGGGGGCTAGGCCTGGCGGCCTCGTCTTGCGACCTCGCGCAGCTCGCCTGCAGTGAGAGGGCCATGCAGTGCAAAGGCTGACACATGCATGTGCGATGCAGTGATTACGGCGTTGATGGGCCTTTGCGATGGCCTGGGCGATGTTCTCCTGACAAGCGCTGACCCTCCCGAGCTCGTCGCGCAATCGCCGCCTTACTGGGTTCCTGCACCAGAGGCGTGCCGCGCGCAGGACCAGCATGGCAAAAACTTGTTTATCACAGGTGGGTCAATGCGGCCCTGCAGAGCTGAAGCTTCCTTTTCCTGTAACGAGCTGTCCAAAAGCCTACGCCCAGCATCCAGACACTGCAGTGCTGTCGGTGAGGATCCAAATGGGCAAGGCGCCACGCCTGAACTGACTTGGCCAGAGGACGGCGCAGTGCTTGGGCCAGCGAGGGTGACTTCAGGGCCTGTTCGCTGCAACTTTGACCAGTCAGGGCCCTTGCCGTCTGCCGATGCGGTTTCAAGCCGAATGTGCAGGAGCCCAGCTGTGCATCATCCTCAATACAGCTGCGCCTCACGCCTAGAAAAGCTGGGCGCGCTGGAGGAAGCTCCTATCTTCATCGTCAGTGCTTCGATGGCATCATCATTGGAGGGGTTGCAGCACGTGCAGGTCTACAGTGTCGGGGAGAAACTTGAACGGAGGCTAGCACGTCGATGCTCCACAACCCGTCGGCATGGGGACACGGCGCCCAGTCGCCTGGGGCCATCGCTTGCACACAGAGCTGCTCCGAGTACAACCAGAGCCGTCCCGCCTCGCCAGGTGCCGCTGTCCAGCTGGCAATGCGAAGGGAGTTTGCGGAGGAAAAATCCGACGAGGCTGCTGCCCACCCGCAGGGTGATGGCCTGGCAACAGGAAAAGTGGTTAAAAGAGTCCTGCACCGCGGCACCCGGGGCTCCCACTGCGGGCTCTGGCGGCTGCTGCTGCAGCTGCTTCTCTTCCTCCACTCGCGGTCGGGACAAGCCGCGCTCAGCCTGCGGTGAGCCATGCCCATCTTGCTCGTTGTTGTTGTTAAAACGCTTCGTTTTGTTTGGGGCTGGCACTCTGAGCTCCGGCAGAAGCTGCTGTTCCACCACCTGAGGTCGGGAGCCACACATCATGCTTCAAGAAGACCGCTCACAGCTTGTCCTCTACCTTCGTGATGTCGTGACATGTCATGACCGCTGAGGGCCCATGTGCCAGAACCTGAAGCAGACAGCACGTTACAGGAAAAGGAAGCTTCAGCTCTGCAGGGCCGCATCGACCCGCCTGTGATAAACAAGTTCTTGCCTTGCTGGTCCTGCGCCCGGCGCACCTCTGGTGCAGGAACCCAGTAAGGCGGAGGGGGAGCACCGACCAGCCTTCCCCCAGTTGCCATGGCCGTCTGTCATGACAAATTCCAAGGCCTGCAAACAGACGTTGGCACAGTCGTGTCTCAGCCTGCTGAGGCTGCGATCACCTCTCAGTGCGAGCCCCTTGCGGAGGCTGGCACGTGGACTGCAACAGATGCTTAGCACAGGATAATGCGATGGTGATACAGTAGCGCATCACTTATGTTTCTGTGCAACTGGTCATAATCGAGGCTACCAGCATCTCCCCGAAAAGCTACTACGAGAGGCTACAAGTGTCTCATGCTTACATGGATCTCTGCAACAGCTGAAATCCCAAAGCGGCTGCGTCTTAGGTTCGTTCACGCGTAGGCTTGCTCCTTGACAGCCTTGGAAGTGTAGGGCTTCACAGGCACCCTGATCTTGGCTCTGCCGATTTTCTCATGGCGCGGGACATGCTGTACAAAGCTCATATCCCTCCAAAGAACTCAATTCCACGCCTGCAAGACTGCCAACTGCAAAAGCATGTCAGCTTCAGTATGGCCACAGCATTGCATGTTCAGTACTCCCTAGAATCCCTAAATAAAGTCCTATACAATATAGTGGCTTCCACTGTCTTTTCCATTATCCCAATATAACCCCTACAGATAACCCCCATCCCAGTCTTGTCTGCTGTGCCGCATCTGAAGCTGGCAGAAGCTGGCAGTTGCACATCCCCCCGCATCACACGGCCAAGCTCGCATAGCAACGCTCACCAGCCGCGCGCAGCGACATTAACGTCAGGGCGCCCACCTGAGAGCTCGTGTGCCAACAGCTTATATGAGCTGTAGCCTAAACTCCGAGTATCCCGCTTAATTAATAATCCCCTGTATAATCCCCTACATAAACCTCTTTAGGGAGTTCAGAGTATAACAATCTAAACTCCTTAAAGGGGATTACATAGGGCAGTTCTAAAAGAGTACTATAGAGGCAATAGCTCATATAGCACCCTGCGCATCCCGTACGTCCCTCCGGCCGCCGCCTGGCCTAGCCGCTCTGCAACCTGCCGCAGGCGGGCTGCCTGTGCTCCATCAGGAGGCATCTGCATATGATGAATCTTAGTATTAGTAATTGCACTACTAGTAGTAGTAGTAGTAGTAGTAGTAATAGTAGTAGTAGTACTAGTAGTAATAGTAATACTACTCGAAAAAATAGCAGGAACAATAGTAGTATCATACAAAATTTTCATGGCTCCACCCGGGTCTCAGACTCTGTTCGTCGACAGCCAGTATGTTGCCCGTAGAGCTGGGCCAGAAGTCGGCGCCACTCCTGCCTGGCAAGCTTAAGATGATCAAACAGCATGCAGAAACATGCATTTGAAAACTCTGGTGGCGTCAGGCCTGGTTTGCTGAGCACTCCATGACTCGTCGGGACTGAGTGCGCAAGGTATTCGTTCGCTAGCTATATATATACACATATGTATATACATATTTGTATATGTATATATATATATGTATGTGTGTGTGTATACGCACATCGACATATATTTACCTTTTTGCATCCTCTAGGTGCGCGACTTTGCCATCGAGATCTGCAGAAGGCCTGAATACAACCCAACTTGCTCCTTGCTGTAGGCATCATGCGCAACTATCCCTGCACTAGGCTCAGGGCAAGTCAAAGGCTGCACACAGCTCACACACTCCGAGCCTACCAAGATCTTTCGACTTCTTGCAAGCACATATGCTAACAAATCCAGGATCTGCACTCGCGCGATTCTTCTTTGCCATCGCCTTCCACACTCCCCAAGCCACCAATAGTCACCAGTCGGTTAGACTCGCGCAATACCCAACATTCTGCCTCCCAGGCGGATGCCGTAGAGGGTTAGACGAAGCCGATGGCTCGGCGGAGGCTCTGGGGCTTCTGACAATGCCAGGGACCTTGCAACAGAAATGTACTCAGATCACACATACAAGGTGCTCGCAGGCGGACATGTGGGAGCAAGCCCCAGGCAAGTCGGTGGGCGAGAGGCCGTCTGGGCCGTCCTCTGCTGTTAGAATCTGCTACATGGGCTACTTTGATGATTAAGCGCAGGAATAGGAATGCCTTGCACTCAGAGCCAAGGTGCCAGTGTGAAGATCATGCGCCACTTCGGCTGCAGCTCCTGTACAGTTTGCAGGCTGCACCGCAAGGTCGTGCTAAGCTGAATCCGCTGGCAGCTGAGCTCCATTGTGCTTGATCTTGCCAACCGCAGAAGACCCATTCGCCACGGAACGCGCCTCCACGGCCATGCAGAACAGACAGCAGTCACTCGCGCATATACCCTCATGCCTTGATCTCAGCTCACGCCCGCAGAAGGACACGCCCAGTTGAAACTGCGGATACGTCTTGCGCAGCTCCTGAAAGCAAAACTCAAGCCAAACAAACTCTAAGCAGCTGTGAGCGACACCTTCGTCGCCATGATAGCGAGCTTCTCGACTACGACCTCTCGGAAAGACATGTGGCCCCGCCCCGCTGGCTTGCATCATGTTGAAGATGCTGACCCTGATAATGTTTTAGTACGCGTACTTGTACCTGACAGAACGAGCTCTTTGGGTCTTGTCGTTTGCGTTACACGAATGCTGCTCTCAAAATAAGAATCCCCTGTCTACCCAAAGAATGAACATGAGTGTGCGAACATCCTGAACCTATCGTCATTCCGCACCATATCCTCACAGAAATGCTGTATACAATCCCTACACCACAAAAGAGGCCAACATCTCAAGAAATGCCCCACAACAGGTGTGCATCCTAATATGGGACCTCTGAGAATCCCCACCCAAACACCCCACCACGACAAACTGGGCTGTTGCTGAGGAAATTAAGTTGCGTTATCATAGCATGGACATGTAGTAGATTAAAAGACCGGATAATCCCACATGTTCAGCTTAAGCAGAACCTAAACAGAGAATGGAAGAGAGAAGAAGCAGGGCAAGAAGAGGTGATGGCGAGAGGGGACGGCAATGGGCAACAACAGGAAAGGATGAGTTGTAGAATTGCGGTGTACTAGCGAATATTGGAACACTAGGGTTAGGGCAAGGCGCGGAGGGTGTCGAAGAGGAGTCTAGCTGGCGGCGGTAGAGTCTGGGAGAGGACTTTGAAGGGAGGAAAGCCGGGATCCCGAGATGGCGCCTGTAGGGTCTGAAAAACGAGGGGAAGGAGAGCCGGAGCGCTGGGAGGGTCTGGAAGAGGAGTTGATGAACTTTTGGATTTCTATTGCTACTGTCATGATTAGTACTAATCTTACTTTCCCTGTTGCGATTATTATTACTATGGTTACTATCCTTATTCTTGATATTAGTTTAAGTTAAAGGGACGAGAGCCGGGGTCCCGAGATGGTGCGCGGGCGTCGGCGCGGAGCGAAGCGGCGCGGATGGGCCGGATGACCGCTGTAAAAATTGGAAACCCGCAAAGAATGTGGGGATGTGTGGGGAATAATGAGTTTCCTGTATAAACACCTCCTGTCCTTATGACTTACAAGGATCACTGAATTTGAGTTCCAGAACACCCGATATTACCCATATACAACTCAGTTTCCATGTCCTCTTCCATGTAATTTGCCATTTGATTCTCGATGAACGATGCCACCCTAAACCCTAAACCCTACACAATCTATCCCTGTATAATCCCCTATCAGCTAGTGGTTTCCAGCTGCTTAGCGGCAACCTCCCAACCCTAAACCAAAGCAAGCCTCGAAGCCTAGCAGCGCGGTCCATCGAACAAGGTCGCCAGCAGCAGGCTCCAACCACTTGCGGAGTTGGTCCTCCGGTGGATGGAGGAAATCTTGCATCACCTTATGTAGCCCCAATATACCATAATAGTTTTCATTTTCTTTTCCATCATCCCTATATAACCCCAATATATACCCTATAATCCCTATATAACCCATTAGAGTATTTGCATTTTCTTGTCCAGTATAGTGGACCAACTTGAGAGCCACGGGCTGGGACGAAAGCTCAATAATTAACAGGAGTGGCGAGACAGTACGTGAAGAGACAGAGCATACACAACCAGAAGAGCACGCAGCCCAGCCCTCACTACCCATTAAAAGAACCACAACCCTTCTACCAAAACCCTCCTAAACAAAAAGAAGCCTCCCAGATCCCCAAAGCCACCCAAGAGCCCCCCAAGAGCCCCCGCAAATCCCTCCAAGATCCGCCCAAGATAACCCCCAAGAATCTGGCCCAAAAAGGCCCTCCACGGCAACGCCGGAAAATCCAGCCTGTGGTGCAGGGTAGCGTCCCCCCCCCCCACCCCCCCAGGATCCCCAGGCTCACTCCGTGAGGTACTAAACAA